GGATATTTGTTCAATTTCTTAGCCAAAACATGGAAACCAATGATTTAGTTGTTGGAAGGAGTCCAATATATGAATTTCTTGAAAATTGTCGCCATACTTTACAATTGGGATATGATGCAAAAGGAACGTGCGAAATATCTTTTTTCCATTAAAAAATTGTATTCAATACGTCCTTTGTGTCGCGATGAATCCATTATTCGTCAAAAGTTTGATATATGGGCAAAAAATAATAAAAATAATAATAAAAAATGGCAAACTCTATAATAATTCTTTCGCTTTCATAAATGTAGTTTAAGTTTGGGCATTTTATATATATATTTGATTTATTAATTTATCATACATTTTTCTGAAAATCACTATTTAAAACTCTATTTATCACAAAAAATGATTATCAAATAAGTTGAAATTCTTATTTGTCCAGACAAACATTCAACCATGTGCCTGTATGTTTTATCTTCAGCCACAATTTAACTAACATGTTTTTTATTCTATGCCAAATCCATGTTACGGTTTTCTTTAAAAACTAGTTTACATAAAAACTAATTACAGCAGCAGTATAAAACCTTTCATTTAGTTGCAGATTTTGCCCAAACCTTTAATTTGTGTCACCCAAGATACCAAACATTTTCAAAATGTCGTAGCTGAGGTACAAATGGATGATTTATGTTAATTTGACGGTTAGTTGATCAAATAATTGACTTTGACATAATTTTGACTAATTTTAAAAGGTCAAAATGGTAATTTTACATTTTTATAATAAAATAACTAAAATCAAATAATTAAAATTAAAAATCAAAAAATCAACTTCATCTTCTCCATCCACCCCACACATACCCACTCCACCCCAAAACCATCACCACCATGGCCATTTCCTCCATCGCCATCGCCACCACTACCATCTCCTCCTCCGTAATCAATAACTACACATCTACTCATCACCAACCAAACAAACAAATTCTACTTTCTGAAATCAATTTTACAAATTAAAGGTAATATTTTGCACAAATAGCTACCAAGGGCTTGGTTGGCGTTAACTTTACTTTTCTTAGTACTATATTACGAGCAATGAACAAAACTCACAAAAATGAAGACTCAAGAAGAAAAAGTCAGTTCTCCTTGCTTGATTCCCTTTACTGTGAAAAAGAAAAATGGGGAGAATTTGTAGTGGGTGAAAAATTCAACTTAAATGGTGAATATCTGCCCCATTTTCCCAATTTGTTAACAGAACAAAATTTGTTTTGAAAATATGAAGATNAAATTTGTTTTGAAAATATGAAGATTTAAACTTTCTTCTCTGCAAAGAAAATGACGCATTTATCGATGGAACAAGCTCCTCCCTCTCTGCAGGCACGCACAGATACAGCCAAATATACCTTGAAAGTCCAAAAATTTTATGAATTTTCAGCTTTAACTGCGATACTTGCAATACATTATAGGTTTTAGGAAAGAAAAGCTATGAACGATTCAACTTGTAGCAGTGATGGTTAAGGTCTTAGAATTGGGGTGTTCATGCAAGGAGTGAATGAAGAAGATAAAGTTGATTTTTCGAATTTTAATTATTTGATTTTAGTTATTTTATTATAAAAAATGTAAAGTAACACATTCAATTTAACTTTTTAAAATTAGTCAAAATTATTGTCAAAGTCAATTATTTAATCAACGATCAAACTAACAAAAACCATCCATTTAAACTTTAGTTGAGGCATTTTGAAAAAATTTGATACCATGGGTGGCACAAATAAAAAGTTTTGCACCGTAGGTTCGGACAACATCCGCAACTAAATAAAAGATTTGATACTACTACTACAATTATCCCTTTTATATTAATTAAAAGTACGGTTTAACAATAACTTGACAGTTGAACCACTAACCCAATGATTTTTCCAAGTTGACTAATAACTACGATCAAAACAGTCAAAATTTTAAAAGAAATTTGCTACTCATACATCATAAAACACGAGCAATAATCGAAAATAATGTGAACGAAAAAATTGGATGAAAAAAGGTGACTGTATTTTAAACTGACAAGTGATA